AGGAGGAGGATGGAAGTGGTGGTTCAGAAGAGTTATCAGAGTTAGTTGGCGGCAGAGAGGACGAGGAAGAGGCGGGCGCGGGGACGGTGGCTGGAGCAGTTCGAGAGGTGCAGTTGATCCGAAGATGTCCAACAAGTCCGATTCGTGCCCGGAATGTCCGGTGGCATCGAGGACACGTAGGGAGAGGTTGTGTGGTGGCGTTGCGAACTGGGCGAAGTTGTGATTTGCGGGCTTCGCGTTTCGCTTTGGCGACGGCGATTCGGTTGGCTTCATAGATAGCAGCGCCCGTCTTCACTGTTCTCCTCCATGTCGGACGATCGCGAGCGAGCTCTTCCCAGTTGGACGGTTTGATTTGCAGGCGCTTCAGGGAGGACTTCAGGGTATCCTTGTAACTGCGAAGTTGGCCTCCTTGACGGCGAGAACCCGTCGCGACGTCTCCGTAGAAGAGTCGTTTGGGTAGTCGCTCGTCGTCCATGCGCACGAGGTGGCCGCTCCAGCGCAGCTGCATTTGTCTCAGAATGGCGTAGATGCTTAGGATTCCCGTTCGTTCCAGTACTTCCGTGTCGGGGATTCGATCCTGCCAGTTCAGCCTCAGGATGCGACGAAGACAACTGAGATGGAAGTGGTTCAGTCGGCGTACCTGCCTCGTGTACACCGTCCAAGTCTCCGCTCCATACAGTAGCGACGGCAGGATGACGGCCTTGTACATCTTCAGCTTCGTGCTCAGTTGGAGACCATGACGATTCCAAACTGTGCTTCCTGAGGCGTCCGAAGGCTTGACTGGCTTTCGAGATCCTGTTGGCGACTTCGTCATCAATCTTGGTGTTGCGTGAGAGTGTACTGCCCAGGTACGGGAAGTTCTCCACCACTTGCAGTTGAGTCCCATTCACGTTGATTTGCGGCGCGTTGGGGACTGTGACTGAGTTGGCTGGCGGTTGATGCATCACCACCGTCTTCTGCGTGTTGATAACCAGCCCAAAGTTCTCGCACGCGGCGGAGAATAGTTACATGCTGCGTTGCATCTCCGCTTCGGAGGTGGTGTTCAGGGCGCAGTCGTCGGCGAAGAGGAGTTCGTGCACGGTGGTTGTGGATACGCGCGATTGGAAGTGCATCAGCCGTTGATTAAGGAGATGACCGTCCGTTCTGTAGGCGATGCGGATCCCGGGGCGTTTGTCGCGGTAGGCGTCCATCAGCATGGCAGAGAACATAAGACTGAAGAGGGTTGGTGCCAGCACGCATCCCTGCTTCACTCCGTTGGTCACTGCGAATGCCTCTGAGACAGCTCCGTTATCCGTGACTCGCGCCATCATACCGTCGTGCAGCTGACGCACCATCTGAGTGAATCGCTCCGGGCAGCCGAATTTCTGCATGATCTTCCACAGTCCTTCACGATTCACCGTGTCGAAGGCTTTTGTCAGGTCCACGAAGGTAGAGTACAGGTGGGTCCGCATCTCCCGACACTTCTCATGAAGTTGGCGGGCTGCGATGATCATATCCGTGGTCCCACGATGACGACGGAAGCCGCATTGGCTTTCCGGCAGAAGGCCCTGTTCCAGATGGTTGTTGAGGCGGTTGAGCAGGATGCGAGCGAAGATCTTCCCGGCGATGTTCAGTAGGGAGATGCCGCGGTGATTGTCGCAGACTTGGCGATTCCCTTTTCGCTTGTATAGGTGCACGATAGTTGCGTCCTTGAAATCTTGCGGGAATTCACCTTGACGCCACATCCCCTGGAAGAGCGCAGTCAGGTGATCCATCAGTAGGGGACCTCCGTGCTTGTAGACCTCGGCAGGGATTGCGTCCGATCCGGGAGCTTTCCCGCTGGAGAGTTGCTGCACGGCCCTGATGGTCTCCTGGAGAGATGGCGGGAGGTCGAGGTCCACGTTGGTCGCCACTTGCGGCAATCGGGCGATGGCGGCGTCGGAGATGACGGAAGGGCGGTTGAGGACGCCCCGGAAATGCTCGGCACATCGCTGTAGGATTTGCGTCTTCTCAGTCAGGAGAGTGTTGCCGTCGGCGCTGAGGAGAGGAGCAGTGCCCTTCGTCGGCGGACCGTAGACAGCTTTGATCACGGAGAAGAAGTTCTTCCATTCGTTGTGGTCCGCATAGCCTTGGATCTCCTCAGCTTTGCGAGCAGTCCAGGCGTCCTGCATCTCGCGCAGTCGTTGCTGAAGCTGTCGACGACTGCGGTAGAAGGCAGCTTTGTTGTCCTCAGTGGGGTGATCTACGTAGGCTTTGTGTAGGCGGTTCTTCTCGGCAAGCAGATTTCTGATGGCGGCGTCGTTGTCGTCGAACCAGTCCTGGTGTTGGCGGGGTGCGCGACCGAGGATGGCTAGCGCCGTCGTCTGGATCGTTTCTCGCAGTTGACACCAGCGGTTCTCCACGGAGGCGTTCTCGGCAGCGGCGATGGCGTCGTCGGCGGCGGCAGCGATAGGAAGGTTGTCTTGCCGTTGAGCTAGCTCATTGCTGAAATGGAGACGGTGAGCAGGCAAAGACAACAAAGCAACATTCAGCTTACCTGGGGGTCGCTTACCTTGTGGTCTCCTGCGAGGCTGTAGGCGAATTCTCATCTTCGAGATGACGAGGCGATAGTCGGTCCACCCGTCAGCACCCGCGATCGCCTTCGTCACCAGCACGTCCCGCTGATCTCGCCTCCGAACGAGGGCATAGTCTAGCAGGTGCCACTGGCGCGACCGAGGATGCCTCCAGGTGGCCTTCTCTCGCTCCGACAGACAGAAGAAGGTATTCGTCAGGATGAGGCGGTGTTCTGCGCAGGTGCGGAGGAGAA